GTCTCCTTCGGCTGCTAAAACTGCGCCAACCATGAAGCAAAAAATGAGTAAGGAAATCATGTTTTTTATCTCTACAATATTACAGCGCTCAACAAGATGTGTCTGTGAAAAGGAAGTTCTCGGGTAAAATTTGCAGGGTTCCTAAATATATATGCAAAATTATACAAAAAATATATATTGATAGCTAGCGAGTTAATTAAGACGGAATCCATCTGGAAATTGAGTAATTTTAATTTTCAGTGGACAAAACCTCGTACCGGAATAACTTAAACAATATCATTTACATTTTTCAAGGGCTGGGGATGTAATTGGTTATCTGTAATAGCATCAAAGAAAATTTCTTATAAGAGCACGAGAAAATAAATGTCAAATTTCAATTAATGACATGAAATTTTCAGAATTTCACGTGTGTTTTCACAATTCTTGTGAAATTTGACCTCTATTTTCTTGGGCTCTCATGAGAAATAGTCTATTACAGATAACTAAAACGTTTCCAAAGTCGTTTTAATTTTTCGGAAGAGAACCCGCTTAAGTTTTCAATCATACACGTAAGTTGACTTTGCGACATTTTTTTGCAATCAAATGGACTATTTTCCTTTTCTCAAGTTTGACTATCCGAAAATACTTTTTACGAAGACGATGCGTGGGTGTTCTATGTTTAAAAGCGCAGAATCACTCCAGCTGGGAGAAAAGTAGTTGAAACCTCTTGGAAAAGTTATAACAAATAAACCAAATGAACCAAATACAGGCGAGCCTGTATATAACGGCCCTCACAGTATTAAGCGGCCAGTTTTCAAAGTCCCGATTTTTCACTCATACAAACGCTGTACATGTATTTTTTACCTGTGTTAGGCGGCCACCTCTGTTAAGCGGCCGCGGCCACTCTGTAGCAGTCCTATGTTTGTCTTTCTTTGTTATTTTTACCTGTATTAAGCGGCCACCCTCGAACAGAAACTAATCCATATGTCACTTTATCCGATATTTTATTGTGTTTAAAATGCGATCCATCATCACTATAAAGAAATAACACGCTTTATCCTCTCTTGCTGTAAGCTGTTACTCGGCCGTTTCGTATTATTAACGCTTTTCATATGTCATCAGACTTACTACACAGTACTTTAACACAACGTTACGTACATTATACCGTTAAGTTACAAGTTGACACTGAACTTTGTTTCCTTGCATGAAGTGTTTTTGTATGATACGCTGTTAGAATTGTCTTTAGACCATGCCTAGTGAGTATTTTCAGTCATGATCCGGTATTAAGCGGCCAGTTCCTCAATTCCCGAGCGTGACCGTTGTATACAGGTTCGACTGTTAGTCCTTTCACTTTTATCTTAAATTTGTTTACTATTTTTTGTACGGAATTTTTCTTCGCTCATGCTATTTCTAATACAAAATTCAAGTTTAAATTATACCAGGAGGCAAGTTATTTTGTTTATTACTGATCACAGCACAAGCGTTCAGTTTTATTTCATCCTTCGTTTGGCTTTGCTGATTTGAAGGGAAAAGCAGTAATTAGGAAAACTGTATGCAAATATGCAGAAGCTTAGTAGTGTTTATATTTATAAGACATGTGCACTTTCTATTTTGTGTTGTTTAATGAGGGCAGGAGCTGAACAAAGGGCGATTTGCTCTCTGCTAGAGACATCAATCTTACTCTCAGTTTGTGCTTCAAGCGAACACCAAAGATTTTATTTTGGTTAGTTTGAAATGTATTAACTAGAGTTTTTTAGTTATCTCATTCAGTTCGTGTTTGTTGAATTTTGTTGACTTTTTTCATACGGGTAAATTTGGAAAAACGTAACAGAGGCGAGCTTTAAAAATTTTTAGCCCCACTCCAATTACACTTCTTGCCAGGATATTATTGAAAACTTTTTAATCGAATGTTACCTACAGCGGCAATGAACATGGAACAAGAGAAAATACGTCAAAATATTTTACTCCGACTCTGGGAAGCGCTTTAGCTATTACCCAAGGAGATCGTGGTAACCGTTCTCTGTTTGTGAGAAAATTAGCAACCGTGAGTATGTTTCTATGTTAACTCACGCAGCAAACGAGTATTAAACTGAAAGTCAAAACACTTCAGTTAAAATTGAACATTTTGGCAAAACTTCAGGCAGCTGAAAAGAAGGGAGCACTTGTTTCATGGGACATAGCTTATTAGCCCTCGGACGTACACGCAAAGTCATACCCCCACAGTGGTACAAGGGCAGGGGGTTGATGGAACCCCTCTGAGTTTTTGATATGTTGCAGTATTTGCAGCTATTAATGGAAAGCTTCCTATATGATTAAGAAAAATTGCGAAAATAATCAATGGGCAGCTACATAAAATTTATATAGAAAACCGTTAAACCGATAAGAATTGAAGAAACGAAAGGGGGCTTTCTTTAACCCAAAAGTCCCTGCATGACAAAAACTTTCGTGTTTAGAAGTGCAAACTTTCGAAATGTGACGTGGACCAACATTTTAAGATTGGTTACCTGCAAAAACAACTCTGCAGCAAAGGCCAGTTATGAAGAATCCAAGTACCAATCTGAAGAACCGAAACATAGACATGGATAAACTCTGTTGTTCCTCGAGAGACCAGAGTATTCCTGAGTATGGTAATGAAGCAGCCCAGAGGGCTGTGCTGTAATTTAAATGCCGAAAAAGAATGAAAACTGAAATAGTTCAACCGACTTTACCCGATGCTAATAGATTAGCCATAAATTATTCAACAAAAACTTCTTTGGCACTAATGGTGCTTTTAAGTCGATGATAAACAGTTTTACAATTCAATGGCAATCACAACTTTTTTAAAGTTTTAAAAAAATCCGTTACATGTTTGATCCATTTCAATCATGTTATATACCGAGTTCTAGTGAAGAATTATTACGTTAAGTACATTGAGTGGCACGAATGAGTAATGAGCAGAGCTTTCTTTGACGTTTTCCAGGAATATTCAACCAGATTCTTTAAAGTATCAACAGAGTTAAGGAAATTTGCTACTGATTTGCCTATTATATTTTTATCCGTCTGTTCGTTTCCACATCAGTTCCTGCATCAATTAAATGAATGGGTGTTCTTTGAAATTTAAGATACGAGTTAAACAGAACGTGCGTCATTATTGCTCGAAGCTTTCTTGATAAGTCAGTTTGAAAGACTTGAAAAGCGTTATCAATGCCTGATCTGCAAGGTCTTACGCGCTCCGTCATCGTTTGTAAGCTGGTAGAGTAGCGAGAGCTTTAACCTGAGATCAGGCGTTATTTATTTATTTTTTTTTTGCTTCTTTGGCTCGAGAGGGGAAAAAAATAACGCCTGATACATTTATTTAGCAAGCCATCAACCGCCCCCTAATCTACATAATCTAACGTCTGCTTGACCTGTCATGTTATTAGCCAATAAGCGTTTACCATACGGGGATTAAATTTTGGCGCGAATAATGTCTCTTTTGAAATGAATTTTAGGGAAAAGAAAATTTTTAAGTACGTCCATGTTCAGACGGCGCTTCCTAAAAAAAAATTTTAATGTGTTGTTTTTGTGATGAAATACTGCTAGCTGCAGCTGCCGTACCTTTATTTGACAGCTACAAAAAATAAAGAATTTACTTGTTAAAGCTCGTTGACTTCGTTCTGTGCCGAAAGCAGTGAAAAAAAAAATTAGGCTGAAGCACCATTTTTTTACGAACTGAAAGGTGTTGTGAAAGCGAAGATCGCTCAGAATAATTCGCAGCATGATCTCTGAAGGAGGAATTACAGTCAAACCAGGTCAAGATTCCATTCATGAATTGATTATTTGAAAAGTGAACCCGTTTGTCGCTTCTGTAACTTGTAGCCAGTATCAAATTGCATTCAAATGATCGGTGAAGGTTTGACTGCAACTGTTTAAGTATACGATGAGATGGAAAATATTTCAATGGATGAAATTTCTATTTAGGCATTCTTTAAATTCAAGAAAACTGAGCCGGCAGAAATTTCATAACGAACTCGCGTGTGTATTCACTGCTCATTACGCAAGCAAAAATGCAGACTGAAATCAACAACAACTAACGGATGGCGGCATTTTGGCCAATCGGAACAGCGCAAATCATCCGTATTGTTTCCTATCCAATCAGAAAAAAGTCCAGATTCTGGCTTTTTTACATGTGATCCGACAAACAAATGTATCATGCCATCTTCCCGTGAGAGACATAAAGGGATAATAGGGAGAGGGCATGATCTCAGGCTACGAGAGCTTTATCCCCCTACATCTTGTCATTGTTTTAGAACCAGCAGCGTATTTTTGTAGTCATCAAAGTGTGGAACAGCAGGTCATTTATAAAACATAAATGACTCCCTGTTCCAATATTATGACCTGCTATTCCGTTTATTGAAAATTGTCACCCGCTTAAAACAATGGGAAGAAATTTAAAAAATGTTATATTCAAAGAAAAAGGAATTGAATTCTACACAAAAGCAAGTAAAAAGGAAAAGTTACATGCAGTCCATATACCGTCTATAAATAAAGCTTTTAACGAAGAATCCAAGAGCAAACGACGAGTTGACATCAATGGAGTTTGTCAGTATTCTCGACAAGACTCCTATAGCTAGGTAACGGTCAACGGCAGGTAATAAGTTCAGTAATTCTTTAACAGCTGTATCTTTATAAATGCTGCATCAGAAACTAATGTTGATAGATTGGTATAGAAATCTGCTGCCGTGTTATATTGGCCAGTTGTGGACATGCTGATCAAAACAATTTAACTCGCGCTGACGTAAAGCACTTTCGATAAGTATAAAATTCATAGTTGGCTAAAAGGCTCATGGAGTAGTAAACACTAAAGAAATGTATTATTCATCCCTGAACCTAGCCAAAGGATTTTTATTTAATTTGTTTTATTCCCCCACGGAGCCTCGGAGACAATAACGAGTTTCAATTTATTGACTGAGTGCTCTACAAGCTATTTCCAGCTTGCAGTAAGCTGCTGTTTGAAAGCGAGGGTAAGTGCGAAGCCGTTGATAGCCTCGTTTTGAAAATGA